GCTATGTCGGGTGGACAGCATCATGCACATTGATTAATTGTCAGGGCATCTGGTGTATGTGTGTAGAAATTGTTACTTTATTAATATCTAAAGAAACACATAAGTAATTAGAAAATATCCATTAAATTTTATGTCAAAGTCCTTGAGAAACTAGTTTTGAGGATGTTGCACACAGATTCCTAGGGAGATAAATACTCTTGGTTAAAATACTTTACTTAACAAGAGACTCAGTACAAACCTAGCTGAAATCATGGTTATATTTTGTCTCCTACCAGAATGTCTGGAGGAAATTATTCTTTGTAATGTATTTGCCAAGAAAACTCAGAATAAGCAGAGCATCTTTGGCAAGTTCTGAACTGCAGCAGGCTTACAGCTAACTTTTCCAGGTTGTATATTTTCAGGTATACATACAGTTAAGATGGGGGGGCGCTTTGGAGGAGGTTTTAGAAAAGGGGGAAAACTGCGTGACAGCAGTGCTGCTAGAAAAACTTTACGCCCAGGGAGCTCACAATCAAATATTTATAGCTTTATGGGCAACGAGTACTCCTTGACACAAGACTACAAAGCCATCCCATGCTCAGGTATTCTTTTTGCTCTCGCCCCAGTCGTATCTTCCACCACATCCTTTCTCAGAATACTTACTATGCTGTCAGCATTGTTATTGCCAACTTCACTGCATACTTGTAAAACAGGGAAAGCTATTTAATGCCTTTTTATGGATTTCTCAGTTGATCCAGTTGGTTGCTATTCAAATATTGTATTGCTTTTAAATTTCGCAACTGGTAGGGCAAGTAGGACTTTTGTTCAAGAATCTGCTTTTCAAATACATCATATTTAGACATCTAGAAATAAAAAAAATACTCAGAAAACATTTTTGATTCATTTTTAGGTGATTATCCCAGTTTTTATTTTGTACTCTGACCACTAATTATCTTAAGAGATGTTTTTGCTAGGAAAAGGCTGCACTATGAATAATTCTTTCAGTATTTCTGCAGATGCCAACTTTGGAAGGAACCGAAATGAAAGTGTCTCTTCAAGTTTCCTCTTGTACAGGATCTGTACAAGATTTCCGAGCCAAAGAAGCTTTTATGAAAGATCAGAACAAGAAGTCACCACACAGGAGACTGCGGTACTCATTGCCAGCTAGAGCCAGCCCTGTCCAACACCTACAGGGATGCTGGAAAGGGCAACTTGCAACCTCTTTACCAGGGTCTCTGGTGGCAATGCTGGGAAACCTGCTTCCCAACTTTATAACATAGCTATATGGGGCTGGTGTCACTCAGCATCTCAGATACACAGGGATCTGGGAGAAATTTAACCCCCTGCTGCAATACACTCCTCTTTTTTGCACCAAGTAGTTGGGTTTTTTTCTCCTGGAGTTTAGTAGTTTGATGCCTGAAAGGGCTGTGCTGCGCTCTGAAGCCTGCTCTTGCCTCTGAAGAGCACGAATAGGGGCCTTGACAGAGCATGATGGGCTGGTCTGTTGGACTCTGCTCCTGGTTACCGTCACCAGTAGGACAAGCAGCACTCATTTATTGCTAGGTATCAGCTGTGCTTTATCATCCATGGGACTGTAAAATATTCTCTTCACATCTCCCTAACCTGCAGCTCTGTCATTTACTGGGCTATTTGGCCACTTCAGTTCAAAACCAGATTTATTAGTATGAAACTTAAATTACCAACTATTAAAAATATCCTCTGAATGCCTCCCTAGGATACTCACTGATAGGGGTTCTTAGACAATATAAAATATCAACCCTTTAAGTACTTGGGCGTTTATATAGTTTTTCTATGTCAAGTTGCACCAGGAATTCTTGGAGCTCCAAATCCATACACAATTCATCGTCCACTTGAAAATCCTGTATTTGGATTTTTAAAAACCTTACCCTTCAATATATTAGAATTGCAATTGTTACGTAAAAATCCCCACTTAGCTTCATATGCATTTGTCGTACTCATTTTAAAGGTCCACCTGCTCTACGTGCAGGGGTAAGGTTTGCTTTCCTAAATGTCCGTCAGGAGAAACATGGCATCAGCCTTCATCACTTATCTTCACTTGACGGGTAGATGTCTGTGGTCTGAAGACATGTCATGGTCCTTTCAGTCAGATTTCACTCAGTCATTAAATCTTAAAAACAAACCAAAAAAACCCACCAAACAACAAAAAACCCCACCACCCAATTGGGTTGCAGTAAAACAAGCGTTCCAGTTAGTTTCATGGTCAGGGAAAAGCATGCTGTATTAACTCTGTTATTCAAAACCCCCAAGACTGTGCTTTTAGTTGGTGGTGTCACCTGGGAACAAGGATTTGCATTCACATCACACGCGGACCGCCGAGTGAGGGACCAAGGCACAGCCTCATCCCCCTCCCCACTCAGTGGGCAGGGCACGGGGGCTGGCAGCTGCACACGCTGCCCGCCGATCAGCCCCACGCGTGCATTTAATGCATTCATGAGGTGTAGGGTAATGTCTTGATCAGTTTTTGATGGCACCTGTGTTTCTGAAGCTGCTCAGGTGTGACAAATGGTTGGGGAATAAGAGTCTTCTACCACATCAGTAACATACCCACCCCCCCTCTGTCCCACCCCACCAAACAAAACACATGCCCCATAACTGGAGACATTTCAGTGCCTGAATTATTAATAAAATAAGCATGATAATGAATAATCTATGTTAAGCATTTTCTTACCCTTTATTTTTTCATTATGCTCAGAAGAGGAATATGATTAACAGCAGTTTAAACTTTAGCAGTACAATTTCAGTATTAAATATAAAACTACACTGCAAGTTGATGTATTTTAAAAATGGTTATGTATACTCTAGCCTTAAATTTATGTATCAAATACAAGTAAATTGTTTCTTGCCTTGACAATTAACATATCTAACAAATTTCAACAAGCCAGACATCCATCTTTTCCATTAAAAAAAATAAGCAAGCACACCAACTCGTATTCATAGCAAGGGGGTGTAAAGATTCAACACTTTCCTGAGTGTTGTGCAAAGAATAACAGGTTAGAGAAAGTCAGTTAAATAAGTGTAATGATAAACCTAAAGCTAAGCTGGAGGACCTTTTGATTAACTTCATATTTCATATTTTACTTGCATCAGTTGAGAGCAACATGAGTTACAGAACTTCCATGAAAACAAGCCACTTACAAGCAGGTGGTTAAGCTTGATCAGTTTATTAAAAGGATTATATGACACGGTTGCCTGCAATAGCAGGGGACTGGATCTGATGACCCAGGAAGTTCTTTCCAGTCCCATGTTTCTAAGCCATGCACCGAGTGTATCCAGCCCACACTTTCACATTTGGAAAAAGCCAAAGCCACACACACACGCACTCACAGAAAAAAAAAGAAAAAATCTTAAAAAAAGTCCTGATGACACCATTTCATTTCTCTAGATATTCACTATGCAGAAGGGAACAGAGCTAAAGTCCTGTACAGAGGATACATTTACTCGAGGTTGATGTGGTACTGAAGTCAGTTAATAATTAGATACCTCCAGGCAGATTCAGTTACAGGGCATACCAACACTGCACACTGCCAGACAATTTCTAATCAAGCCAAGAACCTCTTGCAGGAATGAGGTCTCTGCTAGCAAGCACAGAGCACACTGAATAAGCTAAAAGCAGCTGTTCTTAAATGAACTACCCTACCAACCGTGAGTGAATGACAGATAGATGGTAAGAAGCATTTACCTACTAGACAAGATCTCTCTGCACACTCAGGCAGAAGAAGTACTTAGTTCAGAGCAGCAACCATTGCTCCTACCTTGCCTGTCTCTTGAGTACGTTCTCTTTAAAAGCTGGTCTACAGAATCAGTGCAGCCTTTCCCAAGCACTACCCAAGGAGCAGTTTGCAGCTGCCTTGCAAGACTCTACTTCCAAACGGTGGTCAGACATTCCCGTCATCACGGCCAGTTTGCTAGGACAGCACACGCAGCCGTAGCAAAAAGCCTTTGCAACAACTACAGACCTAAACAATTGCCTACATTCAGCCCATCTAACTTTTAGGCACTTGGTTAAGGTGTCTGGGTCCCTCGTCACCCAGAACTCCCCCCCACCCCCCCTACCAGGACAAAATAAAATTTAAGGAAAAAAACAGTATCACTGAAGGCAAATAGTCTCAATTGCCTTCTGGAGGTGTCTCGACCCCCCGCTGAGCAAAGCCGCATTTCAAAGCAACCAAGTTCTTAACACAGGCACCTCAGTTAGACAGGATGAATGGAGACTTGCATCTCTCTCAAGAGATAGTATCAATACTCTCCAAAACCAAAGGCAATTAAGCAATTAAGGTTTGCAACTCCAGTTACGTTTTGAAACGAACCTACAGTCAAGTAATTAAGCTGTAGTCCCTCCCTCCCAAGCATAAAAGCCTTCCACATGGAGGCTCTACTTATTTAAAAAAAAAAAAAAAAGGCATTCTTTCAAACAAAGAATAGTGGACATGGCTGCTTTGCCACTCATTCATGGGGAAGCTGAAGGATCAGAGAACACTTACTCAGAGACCTGGAATGACTAAACACTGATAGTGCATGCAAAGCAGAAGTAACATGATGGTTTTTAAATTAACCCTAATCCTCTTCTCCACCCCACAAAATTCATGCAAGTGTTTGAGAAGATAAGTCAAGACATAATAGCCCCAGTTTCCAAAAAGGCTTAGGGTTTGGGGTTTGGTTTTTTTTGGTGGTTTTTTTTTTTTTTTTTTTTACATACTGTAAAAGAAATGTCCTTTTGTTTTCTTTCTGTGGGCAGAGAAATGCATTTTTGGCATGTTTGAGAATCACAGATATCTATGAAGTCCCATGCTGTTTAAATCCTCCAACTTGTTTCTATAACCTGTCAAAAAGAGACATAAGCAGCCTATACGTTTCCCCAGTATCGACATGCATGCTCAGAGCTCTCCACTTTAGTGAAATGAGGTGTTACTTCTGTGCTGATAGTTGACGAGTCAGCATTGCACGACTTTGAGACCAACTAAATTAACATTGTCGTAATATGAAAGGCAAGCACAAGTTCATTTATTTATAGCAAAGGTCTTGGGTTACAGGAGGTCAGTTCTTGCCATCTTGAAAAGATAGGGGATAACTTATTGCATACATGTGCATTATAATTTAGCAGCAAGTCATTCATAGAAACACTTCCCTCCTACTGCTTTTTTGGTTTATTATCTCAATTATATATATATATTTTTAGCTTTACAAAGCATTTAACACCACCTTTAAGTTAATGGTCTTTTATTGGAAAAAAAGACTAGCATTTACAACTTGGAATGGACATAAACTGTAATATCTTGAACAGCGATGTTGATAGTTGTGCTGAAGTCCACAGGCTACTCCGCCAGCTCCAAGTCATGGTACAGAAGGTTTTAAAAATATGAGAGTCCAAAGATGCTCCCTTGGTGAAGGTTTCTTTTAAAAATTTTGTGAACGGTAACAGCCCGACACCCGTTTCACTATAGTGCAATGCAGACAATGTTAAACCAGTATTTTAACACAGACATGCCATCCATAGTTAAGATCATCGTATTTTTGGAGCACACTGCTACGTACAGGAGAACCATTCAACCTTTAGGGCATTTTCTCTACGTTTTGCATCCTTCAACCATTTTGCTGCATACCATCCTGAGGTATAAACCAATTTGAAAGTAAACCAGCTATGACAATTTATACTACAAATTGAACTAGAATCCACCATTGAACAAAAGAGTGGATCTTTTAGGTTGGTTTTTTTTTCCTTTTAATACAAATGTCTGACTGTGCTCAATTGTCAAGCTGCATGCATGAAAAACTGGCCAGCCCAAACAGTGTAATAGTCATTAGCAAATGGAACTTTTGAGTTCACTAAGTGCTTCCTTTTTTTTTATTTTCAAGGTAGTACAATTATTTATATTGTAAAACTGATGTTTATCTTTTGGGGACAGGACCACCAACCATTACATGCAGTTTGTGGACAGAAGGTATTTTGACATTCAGTTTTGCTATACAGAAACAGAATGAATAAATGAACATTTTTTTTTTTTGCAAGAGGTAAGTAAAAGATTCAATTTGATTCTTCTAGAGGAAAAAAGGTGTAAAGGAGGTCTCTTCACTTTGCAGTCATCATCTGTACGAATTCTGAAAAGATAAAAAGTCACTGTGATTTATTGTCTCCAGTGCATATTGACTGATAAGTCTCAAACACACTTGAAACAAAAAAAGCCCCTTCTACTGCATCCAAGTTTTTGTCCAAAATGGACAACTTAAAAAAATGGTGCCTCAAGTACTGGAAATTAACACCCTACGCATTAGGCCTTCACTCAGTCTCAGTAATAGCTTTTGGTCAAGACACATGGTTTTACCTTCATAGTTGACTTGCCCATCCCCATCAATGTCTGCTTCTCTGATCATTTCGTCTACTTCTTCATCTGTTAGCTTTTCCCCTAAGTTTGTCATAACGTGACGTAGTTCTGCTGCACTGATATAGCCATTGCCATCCTGCGAAGAAAGGGTTGCACAAGATCATGATCAACAATCCTGACACTGATTAAGTCCAAAACTACAGCTAGATTTCTAGTAACTGCTTCTGAAGTAGCCTCAGTGCACTTCAGACACATATACAAGACCTGGCAGACCGTAACACTACCGTATGTACCAGCCCCACTGCCTTGTGAAGCATGCATGCCACCACATCCTTCTAGACAATAACTGTACTGTAAGAATGACTGCAGGTTTGACATGCAGCTGTAAGGTATTTTTAATGCTTTTAAAGAGCTTTCAAAAATAAACAAACAGAATGGTTTTTGTTTAGTCTCTGGTGCCTAAGCAATGTCAAAAGAAAAAAAAAAGCCAACCCCAATTTCCCTACCAGCATGAATAAAGTCAGTTTTCACTTCTGTGTAATACTACCCCTATAACCAGGCCGCAGGTGGCTAGGTTAGGTTTCTTGGATGAGACGGTATAGAACAAACCTTCAAAGAAAGCATTTAAATTCTACTCAAAGGATTTATGAAAAGCTTTATGGAATCAAAAAAAAAATTACACTAAGTCAGTGTTCCCAGTAGTAACATCCAGACCTACAGCTCACCCCTAGCTATTTCAGAAACTGTCCTCTTCCACATACAGGAAGAATACACTAGCTTAGAGCAGGAGTTCATATGGCCATCACCAGCAGATAAGCCACCTCAGTGGCTTTAAACACTAATCTAGTCTGCAGAAATAACCCCATAGGGTAGATGAAGTACCCAATTGAACATTTCCTCTAGCACATTTTCCAGCTAAGTACTGAAGACTGCCACTTTTTTCCCCATAGAAAGAGAAGTATAAGGCTTCCTTCCACAGACGCATGTGCATCAGCTTAGCAGCTGCACCAGCTATTGCTCAACACAATTATGTTGTAGCATGTCATAACCAAGCAATCCAAAGAGGGGAACTCCTGTTCCAGAAATAATCAACCTTCATCATGTATAACCAGGTATCCTTGAAGATGGAGGTAATGGAGCTCTTCAGTTTTCCTGAAATCAATCTCAGGGTCCACATCTTGAAAACTGAACATTCGACACTTCATGTCCCTCTAAATATTGATGATAGCTTCAAAAGCTTCCCTAAAGAATTAAAGCTTTGTGCATCCATGCAAACACTTCCCCATTCCCATAAAGTCAGAAGGTACAGAAAAAAAACCCACAAACACCCTTACACCACCACCACCACCCACCCCCCTACCCTCCCCCCCAAGCATCAAGATGTGCTCATCTCTGCTTCCAAGGCCAGAAAGTTTTCCTCATGGACAAGCCTAAGCAGCTTAGACCTGCTGTGTAAAGTAGGTAGAACCAGCGTGCAACAGTCCTGGTTCTGTTTCTAGAACAGTCTCCCTGGACCATTTTCAATTCCTCTGCTTCTACTAGAAGACTTTTTTCTCTTTCTAGACAAGAAGGGAAAAAACCCTGAGGGGAAAAAAAATGGACATCATTACTGCTTCCAAAGATTATTTGAACTTTTATTAATACCTTGTCAAAGACTCGGAATGCCTCACGGATTTCTTCCTCGCTGTCTGTGTCCTTCATTTTTCTGGCCATCATGGTTAAAAATTCAGGGAAGTCAATAGTGCCATTGCCTTAATAAAAAGAAACTCCCAGAAATTAAAACTTCTATTTTTTTTAATTAAAAAAAATCTAACATTTAATTTAGCCAGGAACAAGACTGACAGATCCACTGTAAACCATTCTTACAGAAGAACTGGATCTTCTCCCTCAGTTGCTACCACTGCAGTTTTGCTGCTGCAGTGTGCAGTAGCCACTGTCACTGCAGTGTTTCTGCACAAAAGTAGTGAGCATTGCCTTCTCTCCAGGTCAAGTCATATCATTTGCTACCTAAGCTGCAAGTCAAATGTCTATCTGATGCTCCAAGGTTAACCAATACGAAGACTCCACTTTAAATCACTCCTCAAAATTAGTAGCTTAGTTTCTTTAGAATCTTGCAATTGCCATGGCAGATTCCAGAAGCAGATGTATTATAAAGCTGGCACTACAAATCCAGGATATCTACAATTTGAAAAAATTACACTTCAGTAAGCTGCTCAGAAATACTTGTCCCCTGTCAAATATCAGCTTCCTTATCACATGTTGTATACCACAACAGTAATGTGCCATTTTCAGGGGCAACATGAGAAAAGCTGCAATTATTTGGTATTTGATAGCTTAGCAGTCAGTGTTCTTGTAGGTATTTCACTGCAATACTGAAAATCCCTGGGAACGTCCAGGCCTCACCCCTAAGATTTAAGTTCTTCATTCAAAGTCAGGATGCAAACTTCAGGTTGCTCTAAGCTACAAGAAAAGTGGTACGGTGGTGAAACAAGTTCTTTAAAACTGCAGAAAATAGATTTGTACAGTCAGGATTCAGCCCTGTAAGTCAGAAAAACCCTGCATTAAGTGCACTGTGCAACTAAGATCCACCCATTGCCCGAAGGAAACATGCAAGCTTCTTGGCTAAGTATAGCAAAGAGCTAAATACATACAATTTAAGAAAACCTTTGCAACTTCAGAATGCCAGACTGAGACAGCCCTCAGTCTCCTTTAATTTTTAATCTACCAGTGCAGCATTGCTGACTGCAGCCCAGAGAAGCCACTATACAAATTCTATATAGCACTGCAAAGCCTTGAGTTTTTCAGTATCTGTATCGAAAGTTAGCAATTCAGGTCAACTTAAACTTCTAGCAAAATAGTTGTAATTAATGTAGCCTGATAATCAGATAATCTATACTCTAGCCATCATACTTTCACTCTTCTTTTACAGAGATATTATAGAACAATCTAGTACTATCAGAATCAACATACAAGATCAAAGCCTTGACATCACTGAGCAGGGGAAAGCATTTTTCCTTTCTAACTGCTAGCCTGTCTGGAGTCTCAGACACAAGACACAGTTACCCTTTCTGGCATCAAATTAATTAATTCTGATAGGCTTGACACAGGAAGGTTTGTCTGCTTTTGCCTCCTACCACCCCAATCTATTAGTGATCTAATACACTACATCAGACATTGTGTCTCCTTGTTGTGTATTCAAATCTTGGAAGTTTAGCACTATTCCAACTCCTACCACATTTTTGGCCTTTGACAAAAACCAGACATTTATAAAAGTTTTAAGACCAACATGGGCTGATGAAACATGTATAGAAAAGCTGTGTGGAAATGCAGGTTAACAGCAGGTCAGGGCAAGTCAGACAGCAATAGGAAGCCTGTGACCCATAAAATATTAAAGACAAACAGCATAACTTTATCTCTGCCTATCCCACTTTTTAGACAGCCACTCTGTTAAGCATCTTTGCTGTGCAGAAAGCAACCATAAAATGGACATCCCTCTGAGTTTAGACTCTATCCAATATTTTGAAATATGCTTCAAGAGACCAATGTCACAGAATCTTCTCTATGCAACCCAAGCCCAGGTGTGAAGGTCTCACACGCTTAAGATGATCACAGCACTATTAACTACCCTTCCAACACTTACCATCAGCATCTACCTCGTTGATCATATCCTGCAATTCTGCTTCTGTTGGATTTTGACCCAATGACCTCATGACAGTTCCCAGTTCTTTTGTTGTGATAGTACCATCACCATCTTTGTCAAATAGGGAAAAGGCTTCCTTGAATTCTAGAGGCAGAAACAGTCCCAGTGTTTAATAACATTACCATCATGAGAAAACTGCATACCAAAAATACACTCCACTGACATTGTCTGCTACAATTTTAAGAAACATTTTACCTAACTGCCCATTTACTGAGAGAATTAACACTCAAATACTAATAAAAATTACTTGCTGTACCAACACATAATTCTCATAGCATATTCAAACTCATTTCATGTGGCTATTACCTGCATTACAACTCTGTAATGCATTTCAACACCTTACTTGAGGCACAGCTGGACCATAAACAGCAGCTGCCTGGGGTAAGTGAAAGGACCCACTGGGTTCCCTTCCCCATTAATAGACTTGCAGGAACAGTAAGTGTTGTTTTTTACCACTTATTTTTAAGACAGCAGACAGTAAGAACCGATGTCAGCCACAAACAGGTGAGTGGTCTCCAGAAGATCAAATAATGGTCCTTCCCCTAACCACTCTGAATTAGCCACTGTTCCAAGTTTAAAGGCACTGGCTTATATTATGTAATAAATCTAGTTTAGGCTTATTTGTTGCCATTTCAAGTTTATCTTCCCTTTATTAAAAAAAAAAAATACTTAGGTCTGCTTTGACTCCAAGAACTCACTTGAGTCTAGCAATTATTTATTTGCAAGAAAATCTAGAAGGACTTAGCTCAAGTCTGGATGTCTAAAAAAAAAATCATTATCTGTAGTCCAAGGAGGAAGCAGTCTAAGTTAAGATGTAATGAACCAGTAACCGTCTGCGGGTATTTTTTTGTAAAAGTGAGTGCTTTTTAAAAATAAGTGTTAGTTTAAATTGTCGAAGTTTTTTCCCCATTATGTCTGGGATAATATATTTCCTTTAGTCACAAGGAGTTAGCAGAAAAATAATAATTTCTCATCACGATACTTACCAGCAATCTGTTCTTCAGTCAGCTGATCAGCCTACATGAAGAATAGAACATTTTAGAATATTGTTTACCTCCAGCTATCTCAAGCCACGAGACATTTCCTTTAGATTTCAGTAGTGATTCATTATTATTTTCCACAAAGCCACTTTCAACCCCTGGAATTCTGCCTCTGCAAAGCAATGCCACTCACCTACACTGTGCGGCCACTTCCAAAAGCACAGAGGCTAGTTTGTCTTGAAACTGCACCTGAAGAACCAGACACCCCATCCTTCGACTTGCAGAATCCGATTTGGTCAAGTGAAGGACACAGGGTAGGCTCCTTGCCATTGGTCAGAGAGGCACGAAATCCTTAATAACGTGTTTGGGCTTTCACATCACATCAGATGTCATTTCCAGCAGCACAGTGACCCTAATACTGCAACTGGGGGGTATTTGCACACCAGTGGGCTAATGACAAGTGTGCCACCTAGTGATCTAACACCAGCCCGCCCTCCCCCACCACATCCCGTCAAGCATTAGCCTACTGTAAGCTTAGCAGAAAGGACTGTGCTCCAATATTAGTAGGAATTACTACGCAGTATTACGGATATTTTTTGCCATCTGACAAAGAAAAAGGCCAGTTTCCATATTTTTCCATTCAGCCAAGCAGTTTAAGGTGCCTCACACTGACATGAGGGTTGTTTCATACACCCTTTTGAGCGGCAAGATCTAAAATGCCTGCTTATGACCTTCTGTACATCAAGAGGCCACTCTTGCATCCAAAGGTATACAGCTCAGTTGTCAATTCAAAGGACTGTCCCACAGCTTAATCGTGCTAACCACATCCTTCCAGAAGCCTCTCCCTTCTGCATAGGTAGAGCATCACAAAAAGCTCCACCGTTTGGACTCAAAGGAGCTAACCAGTATTTTATAGAAACATGGGCATTTTCCTAGTACTTAAGAAAAAATACAGATTTTACATGCCTAAATCACAGATACTGGAGAACAAGGTACTAGCTCCTTTTAAACTCCTTTTATCGACAGATTTTACTAACAGAATTTTGTAGGTCAGAGTAAGCAGGCATCTCATAACGCTTTTGTCCTAAAACGCCATTATTCGAGTGTAAAACCCACTTAACCGCAATAGGGAGCAACAAATACAATGGAGAATTAACAGGCTACACAATCTGCTAAGCTCTCCCACCGGGGAATAGGGCAGGGTTGAAAGCCCGCTGTGTATGCCGAGTGGCATACAGATTCCGTTTGTAAATAGGTGTTGGGGGTGTGTTTATGTTTTAACGTCTGTATGTCATGGTTCAACGATTCCCCATACGCACAGTGAGTTGGGGGCAAGAAAAGGGTAGAAATGCCAACAGCTAGAGTTCAAACTGATTAAATATACTTAAATAGCGGCAGAAAACTTGTGTTCAAAATCCAGTTCGACTGCCTGCACTCTGCGATTTTTCCAGAAAATGCGAGGTTTTACTTAAAGATTATCTAAGGAATTTACATAACAGACTCGGTGCCCTGCAGAACAGGAAACAGAGCCACACCTCGGCAAAACCCTCCAGCCCACAGCACCAGCTCCTTCCCCATTAGTCCAAGCTCACCGGATGTTTCTAAAAATCGGATTTCGAATTAAAAAAAAAAAACCGAAATCCACGAACAAAACCAGCTTCGCCCAGCCCGCGATGCCAGAAGCACGCAACCCGACCCTAACCCGCGGCGGGGCACCAGGCACAGCCGCTGCCCGCTCGCCCCAGCTGCGGGACAAAGGTACCCAGGGCTGGGCCCATCCCCCCCCCCAGCCGAGTCATCAAATCCTGTCCCGGTGAGGTCAGCCTTCCCCGACGGGAAGGGGCGATGGAGAGACACGGCCGAGAAACACCCAGATTGCCAAAATGCGATTAGAGGTCAGCTTGCAACTGTTTCGCTGCTCTCGTAGGAGGAAA